ATCCACCCCGAGCTTTCCTAAGCAGAGATGGAATGTCTTAGAACCACAAATGTCCAGTTGTGGGGTACGCCTGCTCTTAACCACTGTTTCTGATGAGCCCCCTGAAACACCCTCTCTTACATTCTGGAAGGTGACTTTTTGGTATGTGGGAAACCCCATACTTGTGAAGTTGAAGAGTCATGTGGGAGGTGACAGAGAAGAGCAGTGGCTAGCAGCGGCCCCAAAAATGGGGCTGGTGGCTTCTGGGTCCTCAGATACAGAATGAGCTTATGCCCTTTGGCACATACTGACTCCTGCTTGCACAACCTGTGGAGGAGCACTGCAGGAATAATTGATCAGTTGACTGAATGACTAAAAGGTCTGAGGGAACGACAAAAAATAGGCATGGGGTAAATAGATGAAGAGTTGAACAAGTCTGGGTCTTTCAGTTTCTCGTTGCTGTATAACAAACCACCCCCAAACTTAATAGCTTACAACAACAACAAAAAATTTCTCCCTAACATCTCTGTGTTTTGACTGGGTTTACCCAAACTCATGCCTGGACCCGTTGGAGGGTCAGCTGGGCTGGAATGGCCCAGGTCAGCTCGCTCACACATGTGGCTATGAGATGAGCCACTTTGGTGATATTTCACCGCCAGTGGGCTGGGCTGGCTTCTGTACATGATGGTCTCAGCATGGCCTTCTGGGATGTGGACATGGAGGCTGCAAGGCCTTTTAAGAACTGGGCCTTGGGGCTGTACACTGTCACCCTTGCATTGGTTGAAGAAACCAGTCAATGGGAAGGGGACGATGGCACGGAGGGGCCATTTGTGGTGACAGTTTTATGATGATATGCACAATGAGTGGAAGAAAAATACCAGCGAGGATACAGATCAGACTGCAGCAGTCACAGGAGTATCTGCAGAGGTGAAGAGCACAGTCCCCGCTGCCTGCCCAGACTGGAATCCTCACTCAGTCACCTCTAGTTATACGACCTTGAGGGACTCGCATGGCTAGTGTGGGTGTCTGGCTCCTCTTCTACCCAGGGAGTATAATAATGACACCTGTCTTAGAGACTTGTATGGGTTTGAAGTGAATTAATACAAGTGCCCAGTGCCACACGTGGCATGGGGGAAGCACTCAAATAGATGTTAGCTGTTATTATTCATTTTACAGCTCTGTCATGGCGGGTGAGTTCTGCCTTTGGCTTTAAATTCTCTAGTTCTGAAATAAAGACAGAAAGTACTCACTGCCAGATTTGCAGTGCTCTTAAGCTGCAAAGAAACATTGGTTCAGAAGATGCTGTTCTGTGTCCTGTGGACAAGTACTTTTTTTATCTACTTGGTTTTTAAGGCAGCAGGTCTGGGACTGTCTACAAAGCAACCAACCCAGGAGAGCTTCACACTATAAACATAAATGCATGTTCCCCTGGGAGCAACTGACTACAGAGAAGGGGGCTTGGGTGACCCTAGTGCTCTCTCCTCTGCTCTTATGTCCAGAGAGTAGCAAGACATGGTTGGCTAAGGGAAGCCCTTGATAGGAAGCTCAACTCTTCCCTCTCTGGGCTGCCTGAACTTGGGAAAATTCATGAATCTCTCCAAAGTTCATCTGCCCAGCCGACAAAACGGGCATAAATACTGTCCAGGTTCCCTGGACACAAAGACTTGGCAGAAAAGCCCTAGTCTGCTCCCAGCACAAATCACCCAGTGAATATTTGCTTTGACTAATACTGGGGTAAATGTTTTTATGTTGGAAGACAGTCCCTGCATACTCTTCACAAACGATGTTATTATAAGCAGTTCCTGTCCCTTTCTTAGGGGACCCCTGTGTTCGCAGGATCATCGTAAAGTAATAATTCACCAAGCAAGTGTGTTTCACGGAAACCCCGCCTTTAAGCTTTCCCGCTCCATGCTACCCCACTTGTCCAAAGAAGCAAGCTCCTTCCTTGGTGTGATTTTTATTCTCTGTGGGACTTGGTGCAACCACTGGAAGCTGGAGATAAACATTTCAGAAGAGCCTTTGAGGGCTTCCAGAAATCCGTCGACAATGCCCAAATCACAAATTTCCAGCTCTCAGACAGCCTTGCCGTGTTTGCAGGGCCTCAGCATCCCGGAGGAATGAGGTCAGGCCCATCATTCCGCTGCTCTGGGAGGGGCCTCCCCCTCCGCCTGCGTCTCGTGTTCAGTCTGATTTATGGCTTTAGAATGTTGGCTGGGAGAATCTTAATTTAAAGCCTCTGTCAGGTTGTTCCTTGAGTGTGGTGTCAGAAAAAGCGGTTTTCCTTTGGTTTTGCTCCTCTGTCGCCTTTTCCAAGGATGAAATATGAGGTAGGAAAAGAAGGCTGTCACCTCAGGACTGGGGATGGAGTGTTAAAAATCTCTCATGGAGCCCCCTGGAAGGTGCCAGACCCCTTCCCAGCCAAGAGGCTCAAGTGAAAACTCTGAGTGTTCAACCGATTTTCCCAAGACTGCCGTCACCCCAGTCAGCTCATGTCTCTCTCCTGAGCTGCCACTAGGGGCTCTTTGGTAGAAGTTACGGTTCAGTTAGAATCCTTGGTCTAATGTCTTGTCAGCTATTTTAAATTCCTGTTCCTTTAGCTGAGGAGATTGTTTGGCTTTGCTATTTTTTTTTTTCATTTTGTAAATTCAAAATGATATCTTAATGTGAAGGTACTATACCTACCTGCCTCCTGCCTCTCAGGTATGTCTACACCTCCAAGGAGATCATTCCCTCCCCCTGCCAGGGGCATGCCAGATAGTTGCTCTGCAGAATCCCCAGTAGCTGATTTTCTCTCGTCTTGCCTGCAAGGTGTCTCTGTGGACACCTGCAGTTTGCAGCAACACCTGGACTGTCCATGCATGTACCGCCAGCAGGGCCATTATTTCAAAGGGGCTGGCAGCGTGAAAGTTGAGTTTCTGTCATTCTGAGCCGTTGTGCTGTTGTTCAATGAGCAATGTGAGTTCCCAGGTTGCCTGGGCAAACTGTTGCTCTAGGAGATGATGTTCTTGTACTGCTCTGTGATAATGTCATAGGATGCCCCGGATTGCCTTCCTGTCCTCTTCTTCAAGAGGCAAATTGTGGAATAAATCAGTACATCAACAGAATAATATAGATTTATGATAGGATTGCTTTTCTGGTGAAAGTAAAATGGTAGTTGTGTGCATCTGGATAAGTGTGGGCGTTTGTGCCTAAGAGCAAATGTAGGGAAGGGAGTGTTTAACTTTGGTGCCATTATGGGTTTTGCAAAACATTTTTTATAATAAGAAAAGAAAACCTGATGCTCTCTGTTTAAAAAAATGAAAAGGCAAACAAACACAGCCGCAACCCAACAGCAAGCATGGAAGCAAAGTCAGGCCGGTTGGCTGGGTTGAATTTGCAGGTAAGGAAGAGGTTGGGGTGGGGGTTCAGTCCCCTAGCAGGCCAGGCTTGGCAGGACCCCCTGCACCCTGCCTCAGCTGGGCCTGGCTCCCAGGAAACCAGGTTTGGCTGTGCAGACATGTCCACGTTTTCTTGGGGTCTCATACAGACCCCTTCCCGGCAGGCCTGTTTCTGTCCTCGGTGGCCTGGGAGCGTTGTGTAATGGACTCTCCTCCTGAAGCACACACCCAGGGCTCTGTCCTGCTGCATTTCGACTTGGCAGAGTCTCTTCCTGCACAGGCACCCTGAGCAGATGGTCAATGCTTCTGCACCCGCCTCTCCAGGGCCAGTAGATGGTGCTTGGCAGGAGCCCCGCTGAGAACATCAGGGGATTCCACTCAGGGCGGACCCCGGCTCTGAAGGAGCATACGGAGTGGGCCCTGGAGTCCCTGGCTGGCCTGTTGTGGCTTTAGAAGTCCGGTGTGAACGCTAAGTGTGCCCTGCCAAGGAGGGGGCAGCGGAGAGACTTACCAGCCAAATCATCATCTCCTGGGGGCCTGGCCAGGTCCTGGCAAGGAAGGTGGCCCTGAAGGTCACCACCGGTTGCGTCTTCTGTTGCAGAGAAAGTCCACTCCTGTGACCAGGAGCGGCAGAGCGCACTGGAAGAGGCCCGGCAGAATCCCCGCGAGGGCATCGTCATCCCGGAGTGTGCCCCCGGCGGCCTCTATAAGCCTGTGCAGTGCCACCAATCCACCGGCTACTGCTGGTGTGTGCTGGTGGACACGGGGCGCCCACTGCCCGGGACCTCCACTCGGTAAGTGCCCCCAGGAGCTGGCTCTGTCCCCTGGGAGGGCCTGGGACAGACTCCTCACATCTGGTTCTTCTGTCCTGGGCCGTTGGAAGTTCTCGGAGAGCAACATTTCTGTTTGCAAGCAGATGAGGTTCTGGTGGAAAGAACCCCGCTCCTGCATTCCAGTCAAGGGTCTGTCCCTTCCTAGCTGGGTGACCCTAGGAAAGTTAGGTAACCTTTCTGAAGCTCAGCTCACCTATGAGGAGAATGTCACTCTGCTCGGGTCACTAGTTCTGTGGGTCGAACATTGCTCGTGCAGACACACGGTGACATTGCAATGTGGATGGCCTTGCAGCTACTGCGGGGGGAGATATTTGCTGCCAGCCCCGGGACTGGGTTTTCTGACAACACAGGTCGTTGTGGGGGGCATTGACTCCAGGAGGCTCCAGGCTCCCCCACGACTCATGACTGTCTCTTCCCAGCTATGTGATGCCCAGTTGTGAGAGCGACGCCAGGGCCAGGAGTGTGGAGGTGGACGATCCCTTCAAGGACAGGGAGCTGCCAGGTGGGAGACAGCGCTGCCCCTTGTCGGTGCCTACACCCCTTCTCTCCCTCCACCCCTCATCTTGCACAGGCAGCTCTTGCCTCTGGGCTTCTCCCCCATCTGGAAGATGGTGGTGGGGGAGGCTCTCGCTAGGTAGCGCCTTCACCAGACATTGCAGTCAGGAGTCCTGGGATCTGTGTCTGCTCTGGGGCTTGTTCCTAATGAGTCCTAAGGCCTTGTTCATATTGTCTCTGCTTACTAGCCTCGCACCTTACAAAGGCAGTCATGAGGTCAAATTCCAGCTTGCAATTATAATCTTCCTGTTAGGATGATCGGGACAGTGTTCCAGGTACCCAGAACCTTTTCCTCAGGGCTTTGAAGAAAAGCCCTTGGGACTTATAGCAGGGGGCTTTTCTGAGGAGCCTGCCCTGCAGGGGCCTTGGCCATGATCCCTAGTGGCACAGGAGTGGAAAATATGAACATCCCTGGAGTGGGGGGTACGGCCTCTAAATGACTGTGGTGCCTTACACCCCCTCATTTATAGCATTTTCTTCCAGTAAGTTACAGTAAGATTAGTAAGTACCAGTGCCCTGAAACATCAGTCTTGACTGAGCTCAAACCTAGGTCAGTGCTGTTGGTAACTGAACTGTCTTCCCACTGCCCATCAGCACTCCAAAGTGAGGGGCGCTGAAAACAGATGGCCTTGAAAGTCAGGGGGGTTCAAACATACACAAAGTCACCTGCAGGAAGAGAGCCAGGTGCCGTGGGAAGAGCAGGGAGACTCCTCCAGAGTCCATATCTCCTCTGAAAAGACAATGTTTACCTGAGACTGGAGGATTTGGTAGCACCCGTTGCTACAGAGAAGACTGTGGGTGGTGTTGAAGCTGTTTGGTGCTGATGATCATGGAATTATGAGACACCATCCATCCACTTAAGAGGTGGTGTTTTCCCAGCAATACTCTGCTATGTGGGTGTAGATGAGGAAAAGACATATCTGTGAGAAGGCCCGTCTGTGCCTGGAAGGAGAAGAGACTGGGGATTTATAAACTGAGCATTTATAAGGGAGAGTCGGTAAGCATAGTCTAAGCTGCATCTGGAGAGAGGTGAACAGAAGGGAGGGGGTTCTTGGACAGATCCAGCTTGCTCTAGCAAGACAGACGGCTAGGTGGTGTCTTGATTCTACCTGAGTCAAGATGTAGGTCTCCTGGACCCCACTTTGACCTCTGGGGTTGTCTCTGTCCTTTGCGCTCCGTCAGCAGCTGGTCCCTGAATGAGTACCCGGCCACGGGCGTGAGTCCTGGTATATGTGACCTTCGTGGAGATGAGGACCCATGTGTGGCTCACTGCTGTATCCCAGCATTTAGAATAGTGCCTGAGTGGATGCTTAGCAAAAATGTGTGGAATTGAGATGGTCCTTTGTGGGCTGCAGCTGGAGGAACTATGGTGTTCAAGAATCATCTGAACAGTAGCTACAACCCCAAGGTGGATTTAGCTGGATAAGGGCTTAGTGAGATTGGGAAACTGTGGTAGTTGAGGAAGTTACTTAGCTGATTTTTCACCCAGCATCTGCCTTCAAATGTCATTTTATCTTTCAGGCTGTCCAGAAGGGAAGAAAATGGAATTCATCACCAGCCTACTAGATGCCCTGACCACTGACATGGTGCAGGCCATTAATTCAGCAGCACCCACTGGAGGTGGGAGGTGAGACTGTGAGCAGGAATGGGCCTAATAGGAAAGGTGGGGCAGGCTTTTTTTTTTTTAAGATTTACTTATTTATGCTTACAGAACTGGGGTACAGGCCAGAGGTGCAGGGGCAGTGAGAGGATCCACCAGAGACAGAGTGGGGAGCAGAACAAGCAGATTAACAAAATACACTCCTGAGGGGAGCAGCGGGCAGGTCAGGAGAGGTCTGCTGCTCCATGTGGGTCAGCTCCCTGGCCGGGGATGGAACTCGTGCTGCAGTGGCTTCAGACAACTTCATAATGCAGTGCTTTAACCTGTTGCGCCACCAGGGAGAGCTTAGGGCAGGCTTTTAAGAGGCTAAGGGGGGCTGGAAATGTGGGGAGGGCTGGGGGAAGGAAAGGACTGAAAGTGGATACTTCCTGAAACCATACAGCTGGGGCTTTGTCTTACTTTCTGCCAAAGATCTCCCTGCCTCCCTACCCCTGCCATTCTTTGGGAGTTGTTTGTCTGTAGTTCTCAGTTACCTGATGCGGGCAAGTCAACGGGTGTCTGGAGACTTGTAGCATTTTAGTTTTAGAAACAGATGTGTTGGGTGAGAGTCCTGCATGACGGCGGCGGGGGTGATAAACATGAGTTGGGGCTGGGGTGGGCAGGGGACTAGAGAGCAGGGGACTTTGTGATTTTCTTGTCTGCTGGTATAGCAGGAGCTATGTGCTTCTTTGGTTTGCTGATAATCCCAGTGGGCTCTTGGCAATGGGACTGGACACTCTTATAGCTAAATCATACTTAGGTCAGGAGTAGATATGTTATTTGAGGTAGTCCTGGCATGAGTCTTGAAATGCACACACTTCCTGGTGACCAGTATCACTGGTGATAGGGTCATTTAGGTCAGTTAGAACATCATCCGTCCACCCATCCATCCGCCCATCTGTCCATCTATCCATCCATCCGTCCGTCCATCCATCTGCTCATCCATCCGCCCATCCATCTGCTCATCCATCCATCCATTCATCCATCCATTTGCTCATCCATCCATCCACTCATCCATCCATCCATCCATCCATCCATCCATCCATCCATCCATCCATCCATCCATCCATCCATCCATCCACTCAATGACTACTGAATATGCACAGTAAACCAAGCATTGGACTAAGAGCCGGGAGCCCATGGATTGAGGTGTCTCCCCACCTTTAAAGAATACAGCAGCCTAGTGGGGTCCCTCTGGTAAGACAGGTGCTTACAAACTGTGTGGCACCAAGCTAGAACAGAAGAGAAGCAACAGAGAAGGGTTTGCTCACTCAATCTGGAGGAGTCAGGGAAGACTTCCTGAGGGCCGTGATAGCTGAGCTGAATGTCAAAACCGAAGGGCGCTGTCCGTGAAAGAAGAAAAGGCTTTCCAGGAAACAGGAAAGAACTTGTTACTCCAAGAGGGTTCAGTTCAGTGTGGGTCCAGGTGACTGGCTTGGGTGGGTAGGCTGGGGAGGCGGAGGAGGAGGAGGAGAGAGAGTGGAGGTGAGAATGGTCACAGATGAGGCAGGAGAAGCTGGAAGGACCCAGGTACCAAAGAACCTGTGAGAGGTACCTCCCATTTTAAAGGGGGGTGGGGAGGACACAGAGGTGTGTGTATACGCAGGGGTGGGGGTATGTTGAAGCTCTGCAGCAGTGGAGAAAAGACCGTGTATGTGGCCAGGATGGGCAGCCAAGCTGAGCACACCAAAGAGGGGGCTGGTCCCCCAGGATCTGCCTGGAGGCAGCGCTACAGCCACCAAGACAGTGAGCACCGCTCTGATGACAGGCTCAGGCCCGTAGAGGGTCCAAGGTGGCCCTTCACTGGGGATCAATAGGACCCCAGCATGTGCCTCTGGGGTGGGGAACCAGGACTCCAACAACAGCTCCCAGTGGCAGATGGCGGCAGCGTCTGAAAACCCAGCTCTGCCAGAGCAAGTGACTGTGCCGTGGTTCCCTGGAAAAGTCCCTCAGAGACGCTTGCGGTCCCGCTCCCTTGCCAGCGTCCTGAGAGTGCTGAGGCTGGTGTTGGCGTGTGGCTCTGTTTTGGCTCCCTCTAGGAATGAGGGCCAGCCTCCGCTTTGAACATGGGCAGCACCGAGTCTGAGAATGGTGGAGTAGGTCTGTGCGCACGTGCTCAGGGGTTTTGTGCCTGGAAAAGGCAGCACCTGGGTTCACAAGAAGGGGTGGGGAGGGGGGAGAAAGAGGGGGAGAGAGGGAATAACGGGGCGATATGACTAGACTATGGAAAACAATATCTTTTGTCTTATGCAAAAATGGGAATGCGATCTTTATGTGGATTCACTGAGGGGGGCAAATGAAAAGAGGAGGCACCACTCCGGGTATGGGTGCCAGCCGCCAGGGCTGCGTGCTCTGAGCAGCCAGTGATGGTCTGACTGTATATCCAGCCAGTCACGGAGCGTCCCTGATGCTCAAACTTTGCTCCTAAGAGACCAGACTTCAAGCTCTGTCCCATTTGCTTCTGGGGAGCCCAGCCCTGGAGCACAGTGTGGCCTCGGCTCCAGGCATGCTGAGGGCCCAGAGAAAGGAGGGAACCGGCTGAGTCACCGGCCAGCAGATAAGGGGCCAGGGCAGGGGGTGTCAGTGGGGGGTTGCAGATAAAACCTGCTGCCCTGGGAAGTTAAGTTGATGCATTGCTCTTGAATTGCAGGCTGAAGGGATTTTTCAGAAAATAAAAATTAGGAAGTTTCTAAACATGTGTAATACCAGTGTGTCCTTACAGAAGGGACTTTGTTTTCTTAAAAAAATAAACCAAAACTAACAAACAAAAAACCCCTCTTTTTCAATGAATATAGTTGGGAGAAGTTTAGAAGTGTATTTTTTTCCTAAACACGTCTTTCATTTTAAGCTCCTATTAGCTTGACCGTGTTTGCTTTTGATGAGAATGAAAGGTTTGAACTGCATTTGGGGGCTGCCTCACCCAGCGGCTGGATTTGTCATCCAAAGACAGACAAGACAGGAATGGAGAAATAGCTTAGAAATCTGCAAGGGGGCTGGGAGAGGCAGGAGAGAAGGAGTTCTGTGGGAGGTAACTGGCCACGTTGCCAGTTTGCCTGGTCTGAAGCCCTCCCAGACCTCCAGAGAGTGTGAGCATGCGTCCTACAGGCCAGCCTCCTGCCTCCTCACCCTCCCAGCCTTGCATTCCAGCCTGGGTCTTCAGTTCCTCCAGCGGCCAAACTCTCGCCTGCTCGGAGTCTCCAGGCCAGCTGCTCCTTCACCGTGGAGCTAGAGGGCCCTGCTCGCCCCATCTTCCTGTGACTGGCCCTGCTTGCCCAGTGGGGTCACCTTCTCAGCGACCACCCCAGTGAAGGCAGCTGCCCAGTCACCTTTACTGTGATACCTCTTTGTAAGTCTCAACCAGCACTGATCATTATCTGATAATTTGCTGCTTGCTTCGCTTAGAGCTTGTCTCACACCATGCAATGAAAATTTAAGTTCTATGAGAAAAGGAACATGTTTCACTTTCTTTCCTGCTATATTCCCAGAAGTCAGAATGGTGCCTGGCCCATTGTCAGTGCTCACTAAATATTTGTTCCATGACTACAGTTGAGGGGGAGATGGGGAGGTGGATGAATGGACCCCTGTCTGAGATAGAGAGGATGGCTGAGATCTTGGCACATATCCGAGGGCTCCCCAACCACTGTGGGACTGAATGGGAGGCCAGACCCTCTATGGAGTTCACTACGCTGCCTCTTCATCACCAGGGCGCAGCAATAGGACCCTGTCTAGGCCTGGGGCTTGGGACGTGGTGAGGTCAGACCCTGGCCCGGCGCACACCTGAGACGAAAGAGAGGGGGTTGCGTAGCACATCTGGAGCAGGGCTGGTGAGGAGAGGTAGGGAGTCCAGGCTTTCTGGGGTTGGCTCCAAATTTGGGCAGAACTGCGGTTGCCAAGGACAAGTCAAGGAAGCCCCGTCTGATTCCTCCTGCACCCTCTTGGGCCTGGCAATCGAAGCTGGGCCAGCTTGGAGACATGGAGAAGGTCAGGGAGGACATTTGGGTAGCACAAAAAAAAGGGCTTTTCCTCCTGCCCTCCTTCCCACAACCTACCCTGGACCTAAAACGGAAATTTTGCTTTTGCACACACTCTTAAATCTCCACGCCCCACTGACATAAGCTGTGTACTGGGTTCTGTAGACATACCGGGAAGCGGGCGGGCTTCTGGGTCTGACTGGGAGAAGAGAGGAGCTGTGATCACGTGACTGCTCTCTGCGGTCAGTGTAATAGAGGCGGGTAAGGGGCTGCCGGGACAGGGGATGGAAGGGAGGCGAAGGGAGGCAGGGGCCGCCTTTCCCTAGGAGGTGATAGCTCAGTCACTTTCACATGTGGGAAGATGTCTGGCCTAGCTGGGCCAGTGAGGGAGGGGTGAGGGGGCCGGTGACTGGACTCGTAGGAAGGGTGGTTTCAATTTGGGAGGCCGGTTGTGGACGAAGCTGTCAAGTTGAGCAGAGTCCAGATCCCGTCTGGTCTTGTGATTGCCAAAGAGGGCAATGTGGAACCATGAGATGAAACATCTTGCAGGTCCTACAGAAGCTGGGTGGGAGGGAGCAGGACAGGGCAGGAGGGTGGCGCCTGTGGCAGAGTAGAGGGCAGTGGGAGCAGGGATGATGACCACTGGAAGGGAGAATCTTCTGAAGCTTTCGTTATGCCTTCAGAAAGATCTGCAAGCGTGTTAGATGCCGGAAGTGGAGGACAGGCTCTCTGCTCGCCCTTCTGGCCGGCTAACCTACTTGATTCAGTGGCTCCCAAAGCACACACAGTAGAATGGGTGTCCACGGATGTACCTGTGGCAAGAGCAGGAGAGGGCATGGGCTTCAGGTGATAACCAGTCTCAATGGTGTGTTAGATGCTTGCGTTATCCTCTTGGTCTTTCATCCCAGGGCTCCAGGGGACAGGAATCCCCCCCTCCGCCAGCCCCCCCAACCCCTGTTCCCTTTAGATCTGCTCTCCCATATCACCCACCAGCATTTGTCAGCCCAAAGAAAGATTCCTGAGATCTTGGCTCGGAGAGTCTTCTAGAGCAGAAGAATCCTCTCCTGCTCTAAGCCAGTCAACATTGAACTGAGGTGCAATGGGCTGTGGGAGTCTTCTGGCCCCTCGTCTGGTCCCTGAAAGAGAGACCATCTGTCCCGTGGCTTCTCACTTCCTGCCCAGTGTGGTTACTTGTTGATGGCCTTGCTAGGAAGAGGCTGGAATGTGGCTGACTTGGCATTTCCCAGTCCCACCCGTACAGCTGGCAGGCCTGGACCCAACTCCAGATGGGGCTCGGTTGGTCTGCTTAGCTTGGCAAGTGCCCTCACGCCGTCCCGTCTCACCTTCTTTGAAACTGCTTGGGGCAGCAGAATTGGGTCCAAGATCTTGGCCAAAGCAAGTTTCCTTGTGGTAAATGGGGCTGGCTCTCTCGCTGTGCATTGCAGCCAAGGGCTGGCAGGGCTGAGGCTGCAGAAGCAAAACTGAAAGTGCTGCAGGAGCAGGGCGGCACCGGCCACCTCTTCATTTGGGAGAAGACTCCACGGGACAGGCCCAGGGAGGGCCTTGGCTTGCGTGGTTTCCTCGTCCGTGGAGGCAGGCACAAACAGGAAAGCCACTGAAACAGCCCAGAGGCAGGACAGACAGCAGTGTTACTGAAGTGCATTCTAAAAGCTGGAAGTGGGCATCCCTGGGCGTGTCTTTCCATACCATGTCCACGAAAACATAAATATTCTACCTACTCCATGAGGCCTTTAGCAGAAGTGGTGCTGCAGACAGAGGTACCACCCACAGACCAGCAAATCACAGTTGAGTGACCTTAAGGAACCCCCACACCCTCTAAGTTAGGGTTCCAGTTCTTGCCTGATGAGCAGTTTCGAGTTCCAGCTGTCCCGACTCCAGTTTATATGTGCCTGTCAGAAGTCTGGAAGTTTTGAGCCAGTGTAGGCCTAGAGCTGTATAAGAGTTGTCAGTGTCTTTAAAGGATACTTCTAGAAAGCTGTCACAGCAGGAGGAATCAGTAGGGTGTGACTCTGAGGTCAGGGATGACCTCAAAGGACTCCAACAAAGATTGCTTGAGGGATTGGGGGGTGGGCTTCCTGCCCCACCCACAACCAGCAGTTCCTCCCCCCAACCCCCCTCCACACACCCCACCCCAGGGAAATCTTGAGTTGACCTTAGTTCACAGGGGTCTCCGTTATCTCCTTTCTCACACACCCACTGCTGTCTGGCTAAACAGGATTGACCTCAGTCCTGACTAGATACGGTCTAAAGCATAGTAGAGCTGGACTTAAGACTATGGGCAAGCTAGAAACCCTATTTACAGAGTTTTAAACCAGATACCTTCATAGTTTTCTTTTTCTATTAAATTTTGTTGCAAATAAAGAAACCACTTCAAGCCCATCCCAGTTACTGTTTTTTGTCTTATTCCCTCTCCGGCCAGAAATGTCCTGCTCGAACATTCTTCTGGGCCATGCTTGGAGTCTTTTTCTGCCTAGATTAGGGTTTTTTTTTTTTTTTTACTTTAGCCCATGCACTTTGGATGATCTTAAAAGAGTACATTAAGACCCCTAAATCTGCAGAGTTCTATATTATGTGCATTTTTCTAGAGAGGGATGATAACTCGTTTAGGTTCTCAGAAGAGTCCATGATCCCCCAAAGCTAAGGAATTCTTGCTGTCAGCCTACTTGGAGGTTGACCAGCACAAAGTATTGGTTTCCTAGGTAGGAGTGTGGTGTCGCCCAATTTCATATGGAGTGCTAGGGTCTCTGTTAATTGGGCTTGGGAGATGGCTCTCTGGAGGTCCAAGGAGTTCCGAAGCAGAGAGCACTGTGCCAGAGATGAAGGAGGGAAGAGGCAGGACCCCAGGACCCCTGGACTCCACAGGGAGGACTCTGGGTGCTGTCATAGGGAGCCTCATCTGGGGTGGCTGTGGAGGACTGATCCTGGGGTGGGGTGGGGGGCATCAGAGCCTCCAGAAGGTAGGCAGGGGGAGGCCAGTGGCTGAAAACTGGGGCTACCAGGTTCTACTGGGCAGAGGGAGGGCAGGACCAGGCCAGGGATATGGTACAAAAAGATCAGAAGAGGGCGGGGGAGGGAGCTGAAGTCAAAAGACTGTCACTCCCCAGAGGGCAAAGTGGGGAGGAGGGCTCTTGCTGCACCCTACCCCCAAGTCTGGTGCTGGAGCCCATCAGTGGGGTTGCCCGGAACACAGGCTGGAGGCAGCTCGCTGCCTCTGGCAGGGCGTCTGGGCGGAATGACTTCATCCTTCCAGCTCAGTGACTGAGGCTTTATTGTTCCAGTCTCTAGGTAGACATTACGCTATGTGAGCCTAAAGGTTAAAGGAAGCGTTGCCTGTGCCTGGGGCTTGGGGCTCTCCGGCACCCTGGGGAGGGGGCCTCCAGGCACCTTAGGGAGACTTTCCTGGGAGCGCCTTGCCTGGTCCCCCCCAGCCAGCCCAGCGTCTTCCCCGTGGCTCTCCTCCACAGCCTGCATCCACCCTGACCTTGCGGGGAGGCAGACGTAACTATGGGGCAGGCAGGCTGCCTGCACCCCAGAAAGATTTTCCGGCTGCCCCCCAGCATAAGCTGCAGGTCAGACTTGTGAGTGAGTGCTGCAAGTAACACAGAGGAAGCCTGACACGCCAAGATCCCCTGTACTGTACTGGCAGAGAGAAAAAGTCGAGCTTGGCCTGGAATACGCCACGCCTGTGTCCGCGGCTTCCGAGCTTGGTTTCTGTAATAGACTGCAGCTTCCCAGAGGGCCCAGGCAGGCGCGCCCTCCCTCCCACCTTCCCAGGTACTCCCTGCCTTAAACCTGTCAGGATGAAGTCCTGCTGGCAGACCCACTAATTGCACTGTCTTGGAAGCGCATCAGTCTGGGGTGCCCAGGGGCCTGGCTGAGACCGCAATCCAGTTAATTAGGACTGGGCATTTCACAGCGATGTCTGGCTGGGTTTTTTTTTTTTGGTAATGAAACTTCATTTTCTTTAAACAAGGTCCTTGGGTGCAACAAGGGAAAGGGGTTTGCTGGGTTGCTGGGTTGGGTCATAGGGAACTGGTCGAGATGGTCCTCTCCCTCCCTTCTAGGAAAACATGCCAAATCCCATTGGCAAGTGTCTTGAATATTTCCCGTGCCAGATACAGCGTCAGAATGTGCTGACAGGCCTGACCCCCTGGTCTAGAACATTTATGGGACAGGGAGCACTCTTCCGACCTTGCCAGTCTCATAATCTCCATGTGCCCTACAGATTTGGTATTTGCATGTTCGGGACTCCCAATCTCACCTTCTTCCCCCATCAGGGAAGACTGTCCCGGAACCTGAGCACCAGGGCCTGGACCACACTCACTCCATGCCAAGCCCCTGGTGATCTATTGTGGTCAGACACCTGGCCACCCCTTCGGGAACACACCCATCATTGGCTTAAAAAACGGAATACATGGCCCTCCCTGGTGGCGCAGCGGGTTAGAGCGCAGCACTGCAGGCTGGCCACAGCCACTTCAGTGCGAGTTCGATCCCGCCCTGGAGCTGACCCACATGGCGTGGCAGACCTCTCCTGTCTCGCCCTCTGCTCCCCTCAGCAGTGTACTTCATGGATCTGCCAGTCCTACTCCCACTCTGTCTCTGGTGAATCTTCTCACCACCCCTGCACCTCTAGCCTGTCCCCCAGTTCTGGCATAAACGAGTCTTTTTTAAAAAAGTAGAATACATTTTGAGAAAAGATAGGGGATGAAACGGACAGGCCGGCCACGTGTGTGCAGTTACACCAGAGAGGAGACCTTCATCTTTCCTCTATTTAGTCCCCCAAAAGGTGTCTGCTCACGACTCTTCTCCTCACACCAGAGTGCATTTTGGGGACTCTTGCTGGTCTGCTGCTCAGCAGATTCTTGGTGGTCTTAGTAAACATGGGACCCTGGACCCCCCGCGGGTGGGTCTCCTGACGTAAACCCTCTGTGACATCTCCATCCTGTGGGCCCCTGGGTCCCAGTTTTAGAGCTGCTGTCCATCCCAACACGCCCCTGCAGTCATCACTGCACTTGGCCGTGACAAGGACGGACATGGTGATGTCTCACTTCACATTGAATCGTTACTGCCTGGTGTCATGTTTTTGTCTTGATCTCACCAAGATGGTGAGCCACTTGAGGCAGGGGACGGCACCTCCTGCTTTGGGGGGATACCCCAAGGGGCAGAACTCCTTCCCATGGCCTCATTCACAGGTGAAGTGCAGCTTGCCTGGCAGGAATACCAGCCAGGGCAATGACATTTGGATTCCAAATTCTTGAGTTAATTAGAACGTTCCTGTCTATGTCAAGGATGGGGCAGGTTCCTGTCATAAGGGCCACCTACTTGCAGACCCCCCAACAAATGAGTCTTGGACCTCTAATTGAAGAGATGACTCTGTTCTGCTGAGGGCTGAGCAGGGCCGAGCGGGTGTCAGCTTGGAGAAGCCTTTCCTGCCTGGCTGCCAGCAGCTGGGGTCAGGACCCCGGGATCTGGCCGCGGGAGAGACCCAAAGTGGGGCTGGTGGTTCCTGCAGGATGCTGAGCTGTGCTCTCCGGGCTGGGGGTGTCTGCCCACGCCAGGTTCTCAGAGCCGGACCCCAGCCACACCCTGGAGGAGCGGGTGGTGCACTGGTACTTCAGCCAGCTGGACAGCAATAGCAGCAACGACATTAACAAGCGGGAGATGAAGCCCTTCAAGCGCTACGTGAAGAAGAAAGCTAAACCCAAGAAATGCGCCCGGCGTTTCACCGACTACTGTGACCTGAACAGGGACAAGGTCATCTCACTGCCGGAGCTGAAGGGCTGCCTGGGTGTCAGTAAGGAAGGTGAGCGCCTGTCCCTTGTTCCTGGCCCGCCTTCCCTTCCCCACACCGTCAGCACAGCGGCCTGGGTGCCCTTTTCCGTGGCCCTGGGCAGTGGACTGTGGACTGTGGATTCTGGTCCCAGCCACGGTGCCTGCGCTGAGCAGCAGTTCATGAAGTCCTTTTCAGATGGGGGGATGAGTGGGTGAAGGGCCGCCCCTGTAGTGACAGCTAGCTTTGACACATTTTCCAGTCCTGGAGAGAGTCCCAGTGCGGGTGTAGACCCTGGGCCTACCCAGGAGCAATCTGGACTGGTGGGGCTAGCATCCTGGGGCCCTGCAGCCGCCCTGCCTTCAATCCCCTCCCCAAGCTGGTAGCTCTGGTCTGCGTGCACACAAGCCAGGGAAGGCCAAGGATGGTGACCGCAGTCCATGAGCTCAGGGAATCCTTCCTCTGATGTGTGCCAGCGCCAGGGGCCTGCCGATGCACGGGGCCAGAGGGAAGTGGCCAGGAAACGAATCCACCGGAATGCCAGACTTAGGGGCCACTGCTCATCCAGATGTTCCTCCTCAGCCCAGACTCAGCTAGGGACAGGTTGTGGTTGTAAGTCAGCATCACAGCTTTGCCCCAGGGGGTGCCTTGGGGTGCTTCAGGGTGGAACTTTGGGGCCTATACCTTTAAGGCCCCTCCTGACTTCCCCACTGCAAAGGCAGGACTAGGAGCCCAGAGAGAGCTTCGGAACTGCCCTCAGTCCCAGAGAATGCTGCCTGGCTGCAGTGACGTGGGGCTACGTGCCTGTGTGTGTGTCTCTGTGTGCCTGTGCATATGCCTGTCTGTCTCTGTGAGCACGTCTGGGTGTGTGTGCGTGTTCATGTGACACATGGCTGCTTGTGTTTGTGCACACACAGGTCTAGAAGCATGTCTGTGTCTGCTCGTGTGGGGCCCATGTGGAAGCCCGTGTCTATGTGCGCATTAACCATGCAGATGTCTGCGTGAGCGTGTGTGCGTGAGCATCTGTGTGATGGAGTGAGGGAGAGGAAGAAAGATGGGGTGGGGAAGAGTGCCTTGGACTTAACTGGAGCACTGTGACTCTTTCTGCTCCCCCACTGTCCTGGGGGGCCCCTCAGGTCCTCCAGGCCATATCGTAGCTGAGGAGTTGAGAGCAGCCTAAGGAGGGACAGCACTTTGCTCAAGGTCACACGGAGGCAGCGTCAGTGCTGGCGCTTGAACCGGGCGTCAGGAGCATCAGCCAGACCGCTGTGCCCACACAAGAACCCAGTTTTGAAGATGGTCCCTGCGTGAGCCGGCCGGTCTTGCTTCCTGAGAAAAGCCAAGGGGGTGAGCACACTGGTGAGGTCAGAGAAGGCAGGGGGCAGATCCAGCTTGGGGTACGGGTAGAAGGTGCTGGGCAGGGGACTGCCAGCACTTTCAGAGGGGAGACACCTAATTTCCAGACAGGTGGTGCCTGCAGGAGAGTGGACCACAGTCTATGGCAGTCGAGGGTGGTTTTGGGGAGAGGGTAGGTAGAGCAGAACCTTGACGTCCGATGAATCTGGCTTCCAATCTCAGTGCTGTCACTTACTAGCTCTGTAATCTTTGCCAAGTTGTCTAACCTCTTTGAGCCTCAGTTTCCTCATTTGAAAATGGAGATTGCTATTATCCACCTGAGAGATTTGGTGTGACGCTTTCACAAGATGGCGCTTGTGAAGAACTTAGTACTGGTGCATGGTGAATGTGTGTGTGTGTGTGTGTGTGTGTGAGAGAGAGAGAGAGAGAGAGAGAGTGAGAAAGAGAGACATGGAGGAGGGAGAGAGGACTAATGACTGAAGGCAGCAGTATCTGCTCTGGGGGTAGCAGACATGTTGTGTCATCGAGCCGGGCCTAGGTCATCGGGTGTCATGTGGTGCCCTCTGGTGGGCTGAGAGGGGCTTGCATGCTGGGAGGGAGCTGAGAGGTGCCTGGAGGATGCAGACTTAAGGGATGGGTGTAGCTTTGGGTCTGAAGGCTGGAATTTTTTGGAAATGCTTCATGAATACAGGTTGTTTCTTTAACCAGCCAGACTCCTCACTGGGGAGCAAATTTCTCTGTATAGCGAGTAAAGAACAGATGTTCCAGAGCCTGGGCCTCTTTCTTCACCGGTCCTGCCCAGATTATAAAGCACTTTCATCAGGATTATTGGCACCATCCTGGGAGGCAGACAGGTTGGATAACAGATCTTCCATTTTTAAAAAAGTCCCGCTCTTCCTTCAAATTGCCTGGGGCTGCCAGCTGTCCCCAGCGCACATTTTCCCCTCTCTTTGGTGCTTAAACCGGGGTTCTGGAGGCTGACTGCTGGGTCTAGGTTTGCTCCACCACCAGAAGCAGTGACTTCTCTTAAGCCTCAGTTGCATCATCAATAATGGGAATAATTTGATCACTGTATGGCTGGCATATAAATTTGTGCCAAGGATTGAATGATGTGACAAGGTAGAGGGTTAGCTCACCTGCACAGGTACGATTTGCCGCCTAGTAGACAGGAAGGCTGTGGGCCCTTTTCCTATGCACAGGTCTTTCTGTTGCTGGCTAGGGCAGGTGAAAGTTGGGACCCGGAGCAGAAAGCCTGGCTCTGCCCCTTCCACCTGCCTCCTCGGGACTCACACTATATTTTCAGGTTTGTTTTCTCATCTGTAAAGTTGCCTGTACTGACTTTTTTTTAAAGATTCATTTATTTATGCCACAGAACTGGGGTATAGGCCAGAGGTGCAGAGACAGTGAGAGGATTTACCAGAGACAGAGCAGGGAGCAGAACAGGCTGACTGACGAAGTACACTGCTGAAGGGAGCAGCGGGCGGGTCAGGAGAGGTCTGCCGCGCCATGTGGGTCACTTCTGGGGCAGGTATCGAACTCATGCTGAAGTGGCTTTCGCTTCTTAGTGCTGTGCTTTAACCCCCTCCACCACCAGAGAGGGCCAACCTGTACTGACTGCTACCCCAGCCCTGCTGTGTCCCCGTCTCAGGCCTTAATGGGCCTTATGGCTTCACAAGACCGATGGGTAAACTTGGATTCCCACGTTTTATCCTCCTCTAAGCTCTGTCTCCATCTGCATGACTTCAGTCCCTCACTTCAACATTTGTTCGATACCTGCCCCAGAAGTGACCCACATGGCGCAGCAGACCTCTCCTGACCCGCCCGCTGCTCCCCTCAGCAGTGTACTTCGTCAGTCAGCCTGTTCTGCTCCCCACTCTGTCTCTGGTAAATCCTCTCACTGTCCCTGCACCTCTGGCCTATACCCCAGTTCTGTGGCAGAGAAGGGCTTGCCACTCTGTTTCCACAGACTGGTTCCACAACTGGTCCAGAGAAGTTTAGGAGCACACACGAGGTCACGTGGCCCCGGGGGTCACACGGAGCCGGCCCAGCTCATGGCATGCTTCCCTGCCCATTTTCTCCTCTTCCTTTTGGGGGTCTGGTTCCTGCAGAAGCCTCTAAAACTGATCAGAGTGCAAAGGGCCAGCAGGTGTTAGTAGTAGGATGAGCCTTAAACCTTGTTTTAGTCGCTCACCTACTCTGATTTGTAGTTCCCAGATTTGTCAAGCAAGCAGTTAGACCAGATGATGGATAAATTCTTCCTGCCTTTGACATTCTGTGACTTGGAGAACCAGGACTCAAGGAAGATTTACAAATTCCATCAGCACCAAACCCTATCTTAGCTAATAGCTGAGGCACCCCAGTAGAGGACTCCATCTTTCAGAAAAGGGATTTTGTTCAGAGGTGTTGATGAGCAGTGGGGTCACCCAGGCCGAACAGGGCCATTGACACCCACAGAACAGAAAGCATGCCAAGTTGCTCTGGCTCTTCCCCATGCCCATTCTTCATTTTGGAAGTCAGCAGGAAACAGGGTCCCCCGTAACTAGAAGAAGCTCTACCGGTTCTGTGGGTCAAGGCCACTCGAGTGTCACATGTTCCTATTTGTTGCAGGTGGTAGTCTGGGCAGCTTCCCCCAGGGAAAACGAGCAGGCACAAACCCGTTCAGTAAGTTGCCTTCTTTCTGGGCTCCCCTCTCTGGACCCCTCATTGCAGCTTTGGGGTGCTGTGGGAGCGGGCGTATCAGTTGCCAGGTGCTTTATAATAGATTCCTATTTTCAGTATGTTTTGCTGAAGGCACACAAAGATTAGGTTAGTGCCCTGAGCTCCTACCACCCCCTTCATCCAAGCAGCTGGCACTCCCTGCCTGGGCTCATGCGGCAAGGTTGGACTCTGCTTTGTGCAGGGTGCACACCCCCGCTGTGCTGCCTCGCCACCCTTGGGTCTCTGGCACGTGAGGCTTGTTTCACTCACCCTTGTAATGTGACCTGGTGGCAAACCATGAGCTGGGGAAACCTGGGGTCTAGGCTACCGGGTCTCCCCAGTCCCATATCAAGTAGTGCGTAGAAAAGGCTGCTGTGGTGGGAAAGTTGCTGGGTGTAGTCAAATGTCCCCTGAAGCCAACTGCCACTTCCTCTTGCCTGTACCTCCCTTCTCAGTAGGCCGCCTCGTCTAAGGAGCAGGAAGCCCAAGGGCAGCTGAGAGACCAGGGAGACAGGACGGCCCGCCGGACGCCGAGCCTCCACCATGCCCTCGCCCAGCCACACCCCTGTAACATAAGCGGTGCCCAACGTGTTTGCACTTTTAATAATTCGTATTTGCGTGTTTTCTTTTTGGTTTCATTTTTAAACACCAATATCTAATACCAGTGGGGGAAGAAAGACTGTTTATTCTCTCTTATTGTAAGTTTCTTTGGATCTGCTACTGACAACTTTTAGGGTTTTTTTGTTTGTTTTTATTTTGGCGGGGGGCGGGCTTGTTGGGACTGAGAAGAAAGAGATTTATATACTGTATATAAATATATATGTAAATTGTATAGTTCTTTTGTACAGGTGTTGGCATTACTGTTGGTTTATTCTCCTCCCTCTCCCTGCTGTGGATGTGGGGGCTCCGGCCCAACTCTGTAGAATCCAGGCCTCCCCATCTAGGAGGATTTTGTGAGTATCTGCAGACTCCCTGGGTTCTTGCCTGGTGGAGGAGCATCCCATGGCGAGGCGGGTGGCCAGCCTGGAAGTCATGGCCGGCTGATCCCCCAAGCCCGGTGCTCCTGTTCTCCTGACTTTCAGGTGGCGCCCAGAATCTGGGGGGCCACCGCTACCCTAGCAAATTATCCTCAGAGGATTTGCATTTAGCCCACTGAAACATTCTCACCCACTTTTGGCATCCACTCTGTAAGTCACGAGGGGGAAGCAAAGAAGAAAAGAGCACACAGCAGGCCTCTGGCTTCAGCCAGCCTCCCTACTTAAGTAGTGGGGCGAGGCCGGGAAGCCTGCACGTCAGTGCCGAGACAGGAAGACTCCTCCGTCCCGAGATGTGGCCTTTCCAGCCCGGTCAGACGGGGTTCACCACAGCCTCCTCTCTCTCCCAGCCATCCTCGCTGGGCAGAAGGAGGAGGTGAGTTGGTCACCATGTTGGTAACTCAATGCTTTTATCTTTCTTTTCACCTAATACTGAGGTTCTTCCTGTTCCCTCAGCTCTTCTCACCAGCATGCAGGCTTAAGGCCAATTCCAGAAGCAAAATTACTCTCAAGCCTCCTAGTTTGTCTCCTTTAGCAGTGCAGGGACAATAATAACCCACTTGTGGGGGGAAATCCAGGCCCAGAGGGCCACAGACGTTTCACTGGGATTCTAGTGTGACTTCCTCTGTGCAGGCCACTGAGCTCGTTCAGACAGCCTTCAGCCAGAGCGAACAGTGACCCTAGCACCTCTCCTCACAAGCTGCCTTGGAGGCCTCCAGGGGGCTGCAGTGGCCCAGACTGGCGTCCTAATTGGATTGCCGTGGCAAGTCTGGCCTCAGCGTGGCCTCGTCCCAGATTCCAGAAGCGCATGCACTGGGCAGATGGTGTATCCCTTTCCAGGGCTGGGAGACACCGGTGCTGTGAGCAGCAGCCCCCCAGACCCTGCTTGGGGGTGTGCCTCACTGGAGAGTGTGGCTCCTTAGGACCTGATCTGATGGGGCTCGGGCTAGAGAAGAAGGTGCTTGCTATTTGGTAACAGTCCTGGAGGTTGTTACCTGGTGCCTGGAGGCCCCTTCCAACATGGTGAGACCTGGACCAGAAAACTCAATGTGCTGGAGCTGACACACCTTCCAGAAGACTCCAGTCTCTCCTCTGGCCTGGCGGAAACACAAAACACAGAGGAAGTCCCTCCTTGTAGATATTCAGACCCTCGCCCAGGTAGCTCTGCCTCACACGTGTGTGTGGCCTACGCAGTGTGGCTTTCCTCTGTGTGGAGGGAGGGAGTTGACTTGTAGCTTGTTTTATAAAAATAAAAACAGATAAACCTGGGTGGGTGTCGCCTTTTACTTTGGGTGGGTTCCTCTGATGGGAAGGCTTCAGTTCCTGAGAGGTTGAGCTATTTTCTCCAGGTGCTCTCCACACAGACCGTATGAGCTCGAGGTCCTAGGTAAGAAGGGTGCCCGGAAGTGGCCACGAGGTGACACTGTCCTTTACCCTAGGACTCTGGTCCCCAGGCTCTCACCTCCAAGGCCTGTGCCCAGTTCGTTGTCTTTCTGTCTCGCCTTCACCCATGCAGCTAAGTCCCCAGAGCATCCGTGGGATGTCCGGGGTGATGCTGGCAGTGCCTTGGGGGCAGGGCCGGGAGACAGTCTTTCCAGGGCATCAGGCTGGTAGACCTGGCTCATTGGCTATAATTCAGATTTCAGGATCCCAGACTGGGAAGCAGACTGCAGACAGAGAGCAGACTCCGAATGGGGTTCATGTTGTCTGTGCCCCAGGTTTGTGCAGTAGATGTTCAGCTCAAGGCTGCTGGTCTGACTGACAGCGCGGTTGTACTTCAGTGGGGACTGGTAGCAGAGACAGGGTCCCTGGATGTGCCCCAGCAATACTGGCCCATGTTCCTCTCCCCACCCACAGCTCCCTGTAAGTGGCCTCGTCAACCCCCACTTGAGAACCTCCTCTAGATTTCTTTTGCTCCTGTCCTTGGCAGGTGAACAGAAGGTAATTCCCCTTGAAAAATCCCCCCAGAACATTCTCCAGCCAAGGATTCCTGGGAAAAGGCCCAACCTTCAGAAGGGTCACACAAGCCACATGTCCCCAGTGCCACATCAGGCTCCATCACACCCAACACTCATGGGCCTGGAGACGGGTCTCCTGTTCCACATGTGTGGGTTCAAACTCAGGAGTTCAGTGACTTGCTGGGTGCCGACCTGCTGGGCCAGCAGTCACCCTCGGGTGATCTGAGTCAGACCTAGCGCTCTTCCCACTCCTGGATGCCTTTCTGGAGAAGCCAGAACAGCTATCACCTCCTTCCTGTCTGGCTTGGCTTGTGGTCCTCGCCTTTAGCTGTGATGCATTTTAGGGCCTTATTAAAGGACACAAATATGTAGACACCTGTCCTAGACTGCGGAGAGTGGGGCTAGAGAAATGGAGGAGCTCACTGGAGGACTTGGGGTTCACCAGCATTTAGCAGCGACACAGCCTGGTGGGGGGGGATGGGGTTCTCAACTCACACCTGAATGTAGGACCATTTGTTTTCTCCTAGGACAGTAGCCATCAAGGCAAAGAGAAAGATCCACCTGTTTCTTCCTTCACCTGTGCTCCCCTCCTGGGGAGGGAAAGAGGACATTTTCAACTGGTTGTAGAAACACAAGTTTGGGCAACTTGCCCTATGTGAGGCTGTCAGAGCAGGAGTCCCCAAGGCCTGTGTGCACCCCTGGTTTCCAAGGACATCTGGATGGGGTGGGAAGCTCCCCAGAGACAGCCTGACTGTCATCTGGCCTTTTGCTCCCTGGTTCCTGAATAACCCAGAAGGGAGGCCAACTGAAGATATTCATCTTCCCAGGAACCCTGATCTTCCTATTTGACTTCCACTGTAGAGGTGATAGGGGAAGCCCGATGACTTATTCATGTAGTGCCCCTAAATCAAACCCACGTCCCTTGGGCCTTGACCACTCCTCCTCCTCTTCCTGTGACTTTCACAAGTTGCTATAGAGAAGCATCCTGGCCTTGGCCTGCCCTCCTACTGAATGTCTGTTAACGTGACACAGGTATCTCTTCCTTGGCATTTCTTGTCAACTCTAGGTGAGTACTCTAGCTAGTTCCTTCTGTTCTTCTGTGTCACTCCCAGCCAACACCTTTTGGGTGCAGCCTCACCAAGAAGCCTCACCACTTTCTGTCCTTCCCCCTTACCCTCTGACAAGGGCTCTCTCTCAAGGCCCCTGTGTCTGGTGGCTTCCTATCCCACACTGGCTCCAGCAAATGGCTCAGGATCCTCTAGGTAGAACTGGACTACAGCAACCTGGCCACTCATATGAACCTAACACTCGGAGGTGGTTCCTCCACGCTCAGCATACTGCTGAAGTACTTCTAATGATCAGGAAGGACCAGAATAAGCCGCAGTAACATACACCCCCAACCTCAGTGACTCAAATCACAAAGGTGTTCTCACTCTGGCATGTATTCACAACCTGCCAGCAGGGGGCGCTACTCTTCGTTGTCCTCATCCAGGGACCCAGGCTGCTGTCGCCCCATCCTCTCCTTGTGGAGGCAAGGAGAAAGGGCACGTGGCCCATTGCACTGTGGTTCGTCAAGCTTCCATCTATGGAAGTGACCTGTGTCACTTTGCTCATATTTCAATGACTGAAGCAAATCATGTAGCCCTCACCTAACTCAAAGACAGCTGCTAGGTGCCCAGAAATAGAAGTAGCGAGAGTGGGTGGCCCACTGTGGTGACTGGCAGCATAGATTTATCTTTGTGCCTTTTTCTACACTGATAAAAGTCTGCAGCTTTTTACATTTGTTGTTTAGGAACAAAAAGACTTGCTTTCCACAGTTTACATGGTGTATTTTTGCACATTCTTTCTGATGGCTCTATCACATTCATGAGTCTCCCCCTCAGGAAAGCAGAGGTGAGTGTGCCTTTCCTGGGAGCTCACAGCCTCCTCTCGTCCCCCTCCCCAAGGGCATTCTCAGGTAAGGAAGGCCCTACTCACCTCACCTTGCTCCTGGGGCTTGAGAACTGGCTGAGAATAGTGACTAGTGACGTGAGGAATCGCAGCACCCTGGTGTGGACGTGAACCTGCTCGTTTGCTATCATCACTTTCACCTGGACTCTGCTGCGTCTTCCCCACCGTGGAGTGAGGAGGCTCCTCTGACCACCTGGTCACCCCCATAACGGGATTACTCCAATTGTCTACAAGCTCACTTCTATCCGGTCATAAGACTCCAGGCTCCAGCTGGATAGACCCCCGCACTGCCTCCCCCCCCCCCCCGCCCCTGCTCCCATCTTGAGTTGTTTCCCTGATGGGAGAGCAGGGGGCAAAGGTCAGCTCTGCTGCAAGGCCTCCTCTAACTGACTCAGCGTTTCTAAGGTGATGGGGTGGGAAGAGCAGCACGAAGTCTCTCTCCAGACCCGGGCTGAGCTCTCTCCCCTCCTCTTAGCAGCTTCTCAGATCAGCACTGATTTCTCCATTGCCCGCAGCTGTGCGAATGCTGGTTCTGGTGCAGGGCCCAGGCAGGCCCCTGGGGTGGGCCTCCTGCTGCCTCCCTGTGGGGAGTTTGGCCTTCACCTATATACCACGTCTACTTTTTTCGAAGGACCCTGCCTTCGGTAGCTCATGCCAGTAATGTGGTTACCCAGGGCTCCCTTGGTGGAGTCTACTCACCCCTGAGAAGCCCACACAATCCTTGCCAAACAAGTGGGAGTGGGCTGGTCCTCAGTGCCTCCTCTCCTGCTCTGGCTCTCTCTCCATGCCTCCCCCATTGCTTCACTAGGTAGAGGAGCCTGATCAGCAAGCCTGCCACTTCCTGATCCGTCTGGGAAGTGAGACGCCAGCCAACCCCTCAGAGAAGTCCTCTCCAGGCCTCTCTGTTCTTTCATCCTCAAGGAGGACAGGAAGAAGCAATCCAGTGAATCTGGTTGCTCCCCTTGTAGATCTTCCCCATCTTCTTTTATAAATTGGGGTGGGGGAGGGTAGAGAGCAATTAGTTGCACAGTTCAAATTTCCCACTGTTTGGGGAGGGTGTCAGGTCCCCATCTGTTGTTCTTAAGATATGGGCTGTTAGCATCTCTTTTTCTTAGACTCGGGCCCTAGTTACCAATTCTGGGAAAACAGAGAATCCCCACCCCCACCCCAAGTCCTGTTACAGTGGTTCTAGTGATGGGTACAGGGGGAATTGATCTCAGAGGGCACCCCACCCCATCACGGAGGAGGAAGGAGCCCTTGAGCACAGGGAACCCCAAGCCCAGAATCTTCCAGGCTCCCATGGGAATGCTAATGGCTTTGCTGCCCTCGGCAACTCCTTCCTTGGGGGTCCCAGACTCCATCTGCCCCAAGGCCAGGGAGGACCCCCAAATGTCCTCTCCTCACACAGGCCTCTGTTTGAATAAACACATCTGCTAAGTTCCCATGAATTGCACACCTGTGTTCCTGTTTAGGCTGGACAGTGAAAGTGGGGACTGCTGGAGAATCAGACAGCTACAAATGGAAACCGCAACGGCTCGGAGTCCCGTCGCCACCGCTGCCCTGCCTTAGCAGTTCTGTCCCAAGGGCATCCTCCCTGCTTTCTGGAGGACTGCTCTGAGACTCAGATGAGTCTGCTGGGCTGAGCACGCCCCCTTGAATGTCAGTCCCTCACGAGCCCGTGGCCTGGTGTGGAAGTCACAGTGGAGAGTCCCAGAACCCTGCAGAGCCGGGACACTGGAACAGGACCACGGTTGAGCCTGGAAGACCAGAGAGGCTTTGCCAGACTCTTGGGGAAGGAGGTGGGAGGCCAGCAGGAGATGGCAAGGAGGACCCCTGGGCCCGGTTAGAGAGAGTCAGGGACTTTGTGGCTTTAGTCGCCTGGGTTTGTAAATTTCCCAGGCATCTCAGAGAGAGGCTTGTCTCGGGCTGACATCGGCTCATCCCGGTTCAGCCACTGACTCTGATAACCTCTCCCTCCACCCTTCACATTCCCAATGCTCTCTGTCCGGAGTCCTGTTCTACTGCGCGGCCATGTTGGGTCTTCACAGGAGGAGGCCTGTACCCTTCAGGCAGGTGTGGCACACACAGAGGGACGGGGCTAGACATGCTGAGAGGCAAGAGAGAATAGGGGCCGGCACAGGTCAGGGGGCACAAAACACCTGTAGGGAGTGCAGCAGGCTTCCCCTGTGGGTAGACCACACTGTGGTTAGCAGTGCAGGGAGAGAGAACTGAGGAGTTGATACCAAGGACATAAGATGCAGATGGAGCAAGAGATAAAGAGCTGCGAGGAGAGGAAGACAAGGCAAAATGTCAAAGTTGTGACCCAGAGAGCTGAGCAGGGATCAGGGTTGAAGGGCTGC